ACTACTGTGATTGCATAGTTTAAATATTGTATTCAACCAAACACTAGGCGATAGTCTAAAGAGGGTTTCCAATTGAATTTGAGGATTCCGAATTCAATTGGGATTAATGACAAATTGATAATTTTATTTTTATCCAATGACAAAATAAATTAATGAATCCTAATTCCTTAGGTTGATTGGTTTTAATTCTGATTTTTAAATTCCAAATTCAATTCTTTTTTTATTTAAATCTCAAATCAACAGAATCCCCCTTTCCCTTTTTATACTCTATTTTACAGAGCATTTTTGATTTCTAGCAGGTTCTTTGGGAGACGATCCGAGTTGCCTTATCACTACAAACTTAAAGCTCGGTAATTTGCGTGGGTTCGACAACGCACGTCATTTACTCGCATTTTTAAATGAACTATTGTAATTGTAACTGCGCTTAATATCATAATCAATGTTACCAACACCAGTACGTAACAGGCTGTTACCTTGACGGCTATCAACTCTTCCTTAATTATATTCCTCCATTTAGAACATTTGATGGCTTCTTAGAAGTTTTCTAGAATTGCCTCAAGAGCAACATTGATCACAAAGGCTTGCATTTGAGAAGACAATTTTTTTATATGAAACATAGTTATTAATGGGATGTCTAGTGCAAGTTCTTACCCTTTTTCGGATTGCAATAGGCCAATGTAAGTCATCTTTAAGATTTGGTATAGGAGACTCACATTGGCTTTGTCTAGGAGGAGGGTTTTCTGGCTGACTGATAGTTTGCTCTTCATATGCTTCCTCTCTGGTTGCATCAATGGTTCTTGGTTCTTCTTAGTCATGCGTGATAAGAATGTTAGACTTAGGTGGCATAATATGGTTGACTTAAGGTAGAGTTGCTGGGAAGACTGGCTCATGTATGAAGGAGTTTAGGGTGCCTTAGTCTTCTGTGGGAGAAGTAATTGGACATTCATTTAGTTGCCTTGGATCACTCTCCCCCTGAATGGGAAATTGGTGATAATAGTTCTTCAAGAAACGTAACATCCATGCTAACATAAGTTTTCTTGGTAAGAGGGGAATGGCCTATGAAAATGTATCCCTTTTTGTAGGGGAATAACCTATGAAAATGCACTTAATGGCCAGAGGTTCAAGTTTACCACCATGAGTATTATGGACAAAGACAGTGCAACCAAAGACCTTAGGAGGGAGAGGATATATTGGAAAATGAGGGTAAGTGAGAAGGATTTATTGGATTGGAGACTCGAAATTGAATATCCGGGAAGACATGCGGTTAATAAGGTAGGTAGCGGTAAGAATGGCTTCACCTAAAAAATGTTTAGGAGTATTGGAGGTGAAGATAAGGGTACACCCAACTTCTAAAAGGTGGCTTTTTTTCTTTCGGCCAATTGGCGGATTTTCCATGCAACTTCTAGTATACTTCTTTGGTTTGACCAGGTTTGTTAGAATGATTACACCATAGTCTCCCGTTGCGCCTAGGTTTGCCATTAGTGAAGAATATTTTTCCTGTCATAAGAGCATTATCTTCCATACCTGAATTATTATGCTGATGGGGCTGAATCAGTTGTTGACAGCTTTCTTCTCACCTAATTTCAGAGAACACCTCAATTAATAAGGGTAAGGGGTGAGTAGCCATGATACGGTTGCGAGCACCATCAAACGAAAGGTTGAGGCCAAGAAGGAAGTGGTAGATACACTTCTTCTCCATATACTTGCGGAACGTTTCTGAGCAGCTAGTGCACCCCTACTCCAAGGTCTCATAAGTGTCCACTTGCTGCAAATTATGCATTATAATAGTAATATTGGGTAACATTAACTCACCTTCAGGTCTATTAGAACCCTTTTAACTTGAAATAGAGTTGTTGTGTTAGAGCTTCTATATTATCCTTCTTGGAGTAACCAACCTTGACTCCATACCAAATTTGTTTGGCAGACTTGCACATAATGTAGTCATTTCAATAGTCATGGAATTAATGAGCCATGACATAATGAGGTTGTTTTCTAAGTCCCAATGTTCATGTTTTGGATCGTTCTCATTCGATTCTTTTATGACACCGGTGAGATACTCAACCTTTCATCTTCCTTTGAGGCGCATGAGAACACTTTAAGACCACAACAAGTAGTTTTCTCCATTGAATCGATGTCCAGTGATGATAAGAGATGTACTTTCATTTGAGATAGGAGATGGGGCTATTGGGTTTAGTGTTTTATTGTTGGGGTTTGAAGTTTCACCATTAACATTGGTTTGAAGAGCTCTCATGGAGCCAAAATATAGTATGGACATGGGATAAGGATGGTGGTCAGGCCCTCAAGAGGAGGGCTCTGATACCATGAAGAAATCTTAGAACAAGAACTTAGGAAAAAATAGGGAGATAGCACACACAAAAGCTGTATTTTTCATTGCACATATTCAGCTCTACACCAAAATATTTATATAAGATGAGTATTAAATACTATAACAACTAATCTGCCAACTAACAACTAATAAAGTTAATGCTACTAACAACTAACTTGCCAACTAACAACTAACACAATAATAAATGCAAAATCTGACAGCTAGGCTGAACATAGCTTCCTAGAGAAGTGCATAAGAAAGTGACAGACAACTAGATTGATTATGTTGACTGTAATAGAGCTGAGTATCAACAGTTACGAAAACATTGCAATTTGGAACCTATCATTATTATCTCCTTCTTATAACTTATTCTTTTTGATTTCATTGAGCGGGGTGGAAATGGCTATTTAAAATTTATTTTTTGGAGATATTCCAATCGGTTCATCGTTTTGTGACTAGTCCGATTCGAGGTAGGTCCCGGGATTAAGGCTTTAAACCCCTTTCAAAGACGGTACTGAGGAGGATCAAACACATGCTCTTACTCTCACCTGCTTAATTCTCAGGCATCAATTGAACTACCATCATTCAGTAACTATTTAAAATCTATGAATATAAATGGACTTGGCACACAGGTTAGTTGCTTTAACATACATGGGTTATCTCCTTCCAATTATTTACTCACTTATTAATTCCTTTTTGATATAGAAATTTTTTCACTCCTCTATCTGACTTTAAATTTAGAGTAAATATCTTTTTTGGTCCTTAGCAAATTTCACGATGTCCGCTTTAGTCCCTAGCAAATAAAAAGGCTATTTGTGGTCCCTAAGAAATTAAAAATGAACTCATTTAGTTTAAATCGTGGTCCCTCACAAATTCAAAAAAGACCCACACTAGTTCCTCAAAAAGACTAAAATAGATCCACTTTGAATTTCTTAGGGACCACGAATAGCCTTTTTATTTGCTAGGGACTAAAGCGGGCAACGTAAAATTTGCTGAGGATCGAAAATGATATTTACTCTAAATTTTAATATAGCGTGCAGTTGGATATACTTCTCGCATAGTTTTGATAAACTTGAGAGGTATTTAATTTATAGGGGAATGTTATATTTACAAACTTTTTATTTACAAACTCTTACAAACTACGCTAAGTATGACCGGTCATATTTTAATCAAGAGTGTATGACCGGTCATATTTAGTGTAATTTGAAAAATTTGTAAACAGCTTGTTCCTTTAATTTATATATTTCTAAATTAATAAGAAACATGTCAGTATTATTCCTTCTTGCCCTGGTCATTGGATCAATTTGTTGGCACCATTGTTCATTAAAGTAACTTATGACCAAGTAATCCAATTAGATGTTTTTTTAACTCGATGTTCATGATAATTAAAGTCATGCTTTTGTTCTTTTGTTCCTTGGTAGCTAATTGGTAGCAACCTTGCTTTGGTAGCAAACTGAGCTCGGTCAATTGGGAGACCTACATGGGTCAAAGAACTAAAGAAAAAGCTGAAAGAACAACTGCAATCAGAGACAAGAAGTTTTCAACATAAGGTTTGTCTGTTGCTATATAGCACAACGATGTTAATGATCCAGAGTATTATCAATTGCTATCCAAATATTCTTATGAATCTCAGAAATTCTCTTACAAAATATATAATAGAATTAAATGTAAATTATTTAAAAAAGAATATTCTTCATTAAAGTGACCTGACAATATATTAGTTATCTATAAAGATGTAATTGAAAATAGAAAGGGAGATACAGGTAGGTTCCTAGCAATTGAAAAGCCTAACTTTAAGAAGCCACTTCTCATTCTCTTTAGAAAGCTCCTCTTAAATTGTATCAAATATTCTCATTCTCTAAGAATATTTGAAAGAGATTGTGAAAGTACAAAAACAGCTAATCTTGACCATCCAAAGCCAACATTAATTACTATTATATGAGAACACACACACACATATATATATATATATACTCCGTGGCATAAGAAAAAGAACTTGCAGTAACAGGAGATGTTTTAAACCTATATATATATGGGCTTAACATTTCTGCAGCAGCCGTAGATAGCGTTATCTACAGCTGACACAGAAAAGTGGGCCTCGTGGCTTTTTTTTTAAAAAAAAAACTCAGGATTCGTTGCCGTATCCTAGGATCCGGATGTGGATCCTTGCTTGCTGTAGGTACAACAGCTGCAGAAATCATTTTGCATGCCTGTATATAGGGAAAATGAAAAGTTATGTTGCAGGACCATAAAATTTTATTCCTACAGATACATGGAGAACAACGTCTATTATTTTCTTTTGTTTTTCTTTCAAAATATTACGGCAGACCCACAGACTTTGTGTCTGTAGGAAATTGAGGTCTTATCATGTAACATTACATACATAAACCCCATATATATATATATAGTCAACGATGGATAAATTCAAGTAGGAACAATAATTCAGTCTACAGTTAATTCGTAATTATCAAAGAGTAGTATTTGACATCCCTAAATGCAGCTCCTGCCTAGTTATTCAATAGAAACGTACAAATATTCTACAGAAATTGATTTGAAGGATGAAATTCCTTGAACCTATATAGATATAAGAAATTTCACTTAGAGAAAGGCTCTCCCTCCTGTTTCTTGTTTGATTTATAAGCTTTCATAAGCATAAGCACTCTGCAGCATTAAATCACACTTCATAAGTCAAGGATTTTTCTTCTTCATCTTTTATAGTGTTAATCATGAGAGCAACTTGGTTCATACTTGGCCTAGCCTCTGGGGAACGATTGACACATCTTATAGCCACCTGAAGCAAATTGACCATCCTCTCTTCACTTGCATACTCTGATATTAGGAACTTGTCAAAAACTTCACCTGTCCATTCTTCTCTTACAACTGATTGAACCCATTCAGTCAAGTCAATTCCATTGCTCTTCACTAACTTTCCAGTAAGTAGTTCAAGAAGTATAACACCAAAGCCATAAACATCTTCCTTGAAGACATTTGATGCACCAGCAGCAATAGGACTTGCAAAAGGTGAACTTTTTTTATCTTCCATACTCATAACACCATACTCACTTATACATGGCTCCATATTTTTGTTTAGCAAAATATTTGACGATTTTAGATTACCATGAACAATACCATGTTGGCCAAGCTCTTGATGCATGAAAGTTATTGCCTCAGCTATTGTAGCTGCAATTCCAAGTCTGCTGGTCCAGTCAAAGGTTTTTGTTGTACCTGAGAAGCATATCATGTACTTTAGGACATGTTGCTTCATACACAAGTTTATAGAAAGATTTGTGAAATTTTTTCACTATTAAGGAAGTTCCAAAGAGGGTGAGCCTCGAGCAAGAGTAATTTGCTCCTCTGCCTGAAAGGTCATAGATTTAAATGCAGGAAAGTCTTCTCGCAAATATGCAAAGGTCAGGTTGCGTACATATATTGCTCTAATTCCTAATCTTGTTAGTCGAGATTTAACGGGAAGTGATCTTTTTTATTAAGGAAATTCCAAACATGATATTTATAAAAAAGAAAAAGAAAAAGAAATTTGATATGATATTTCTAATTCCATAAAGAAAGTATAGCATAATATAGAAACAAGATCAAGATATTGTATTTACCATGTAGAAGATTGAATAAGCTTCCATTCTGCTGATATTCATAGACCAAAAGTTTCTCTTGTTTGGAACAATAGAAAGCTAGAGGTGATAGTACATGAGGGTGCTTTGTTTGACTCAGCATTTGCATTCTTTGCTTGAAGTCATGGCTGGAAATAGTCCAATCCTTGATCCTTTTTACAACCACCATAATCCCATTGTCAAGCATCACCTTAAAAAGACTTCCATTCTTTCCTCTGCCAATCAATTCAGCAGGGGCTCTCAGCAAGTCTTCCAATTTTAGTTCATTTATCACTGGCCTTGAAAGAACTACAAGTGATTGTGAAACCATCCCACTTTCAGAAGTGACTGAAAACTCGGATCTGCTTACCTCAGTTTTGTATTCACTTGAAACATTGCTGGGCTTTTCACTACCACCATTTGTCACTACCCCATTCAATGCTTCAACTTTCTTTTCTTTTTTCTTTCTTCTACACAGCTTAAAGACTACAAAAAGGATAAAAACAACTCCCAATGCAGTATAGCCTGAATACATAAGAATTTGGTCTTTAGAAGGACCATTTGATCCCTTTGATTCTTCTGATGATGTCTCATTAACAGGAAGAGTCAACCCAGAACAATTTTTTGGTAGTGGATCTCCACAGAGTTCAGGATTACCAAGGAAGCTATCTGCTAAGAAATGGCCATGCACATCAGGAATGAGGCCTCTGAAATTGTTGAAGGAGACATTGAAATGGTCCAAATTGGAGAAATCAAATGAGGGTATATCTCCACTGAGGTCATTGTTTTGTGCAAGGAACACATTCAGTCCTGAGATTCTAGACAAGTCTGGCAAGGGACCTGAAAACTTGTTGTTTGAAATGTCTAGACTTTTCAAATTATCTAACATGGCAAGTGAACTTGGAAGGTTACCAGCAAGTTGGTTTCCACTTACATGCAGCCGAGTGAGTTGTGTGCAGTTTCCAATCTCAGATGCTATCCCTCCACTAATGTTGTTGCCATCAAGACTGAGAAAGGTGAGAGATGCAGCTAGGGGCTGCAAATTGCAAAACATAGCAACATCAAGAGTTCCACTCAAGTTGGACCTATTAAGATACAACCTCTTTATAGAAATATTTTGTTCATCACAGTATACACCTTGCCAAAGGTCCTTGCAGGGATCAGAGTCTTGTTTCCAAACCAAAGTGGAATTCTGTTGGCTACTATTACCAGTGATTTGTGCCAGAAATTGTATCAGTGTTCCCTTGACCTCATCCTCCACACAATTGGTCATGTTTAACAGGAAAAGGGATGTAATGAAGACTACCCAGATAGAAATTCTTTCCATTTTGGGAACAATATGAATTTGTTGCAAATGTTTATGTGGATTAATCAGCTTTGTTGCTAGACGTGGGAGTAGTAAATATGAGATGGCTTATGAATAGAATAAATTTTGGACTAAAAAATAAGTCCCAATGTTCAGTGATATTTGCCGGAAATGGAACTAGTCAAATTGACTGATACTACAATGACTATTTGTTTTCTAGTTGGCCTATTTACCATTCATAATATAATAATAAAAAGGACAATCCTAACGCCATTATGCTCACACAAATATAGGCCGGCAGGTAGAACATGTGGAAGTAGTATTGTCACTACCTTCTTAATTTCATTCCTATGACATTGCATACGATCCTAACAAGGATATTGACGTTCTATATAACAAAGATATGCGAGTGTAGGAATAAGAGTTGATTGTACGCCGTCTTACCCTTATACTTAGGCAAAGAGATTATTTCAGACTCGAACATGTAACCTTGCGATTTTAAACTATGATTTGTGCTTGAAAATGTTATGATGTTTTTTTTTTTTTTTGGTTATAACAACTGAAGGGGGATATGAGACTATCCGATTTAAAGGAATATAGGCTTCAGCGAGGTCTTGTAGTTGTACTTAGATATTGCTTGCCAACGAAAAGTTGGTTGGAATCAAATCTTGGCCTTATATGCAAAGTGCTTGAATCTAAAAAATTGAACAATCCCTTTTGACAAAATATTATGATTAATTGGAGACATTATATCAAATAGTACTTGATTTAGGACAGAGTAAGCTATTATATCAAATAGTACTTGATTTGGGGCAGAGTAATTTGGATAAATGTCATATTGTGGAGAGAGAAAAAAACCTGCCAGAAAATGTCCAAGGCAAAAAACAAGGTGTCATTTTCTCCTTGTTCTGCTTGCTTTGATGAAATTGTCTAAGCAAAGAGAGGAGCTTTCTGTGACCACTTGGAATGAACTTGTTTATTACAAGACAACTTTCCATAGATTGCTTGAATTTAATATAATCCCCGCCTGCTGAAGGCCTATTATTGCATGTGACTTCAAGACTTGGTCCATGGAAACTTGAAACAAGAAGCTTCAAGCGCATCACACAAAGATGGAAATCAAACTTGAACAAACACAAAAAGTGTTTTAGATTCGGGAAAAGGTTTGTCGTTTAAAATAACATAAAATTGTGTTCTTTTAGTGATTAATGCTATGCATTACGGGTAATACATAATTATAATATCAAAAGTTACTCTCTTTTCTTTCTCTCTTCTCCGCTAACGTAGAGAGAGAAAAAGAAATTATATTATAACTATCTATTACCTATAATATATAATGTTAATCACTAAAAAGACACAACTTGTGTCCTTCAAAAAATATACTTTTAATCACTAAGATCCATACAAAACTATATGTAACATGATATTTTACAGATTAAGGTTTCTAATGTAATAAATAAAAGAATGATATAAAATGGAAAAGCATATGAAAGAATTATTAGTTATTTAAAAATTATTATTATTAGAATTGTATAATTTTCTTTCATTGAAGTGGCTTTTCATTATTTTTAAGAATTTATAGTAAATAAAATTTATCCAAAATTTTATATTTAATAAAAATTATGATTTATCAAGAGTTTTATTATTTTTGGGTTATAAAATATTCTTTTAATATCTTATATATATTAATGAAACTTTACATAATTGATGAGTGATATTTCCTTTATTCGAATAGTATGAGAAACCGGAGGAACACTCTTAAGTTTGTTTATGAGGAAAGTATCCGACTTAACGGAGTAGAAACTTAAATTGTAGCAATATATGAGATTAAAATTTTTCTATTCATTTATTTAAATTAAATTTCTTAATTTATTCATTTACCTCGTTTATAATAATATAATATTTTTGAATCAAAGTTTTCCGCAATTTTTTTTTTGATCCCATACTCATTTAGTAATGTTATATTAACTAAAAAGAGTTTAAAAAATATATATGAAAACAATATAAAATAAATAATAAAACAAAAAAAAAAGAATTAAAAGGATGAAAATAAAAGGCCATTCAGCCGGTGTATGAAAATAAAAGTCGCGACGTCGACTAAAAATAAAATAAAATCATGGGTTGGTACTTTACATATAAAAGTGTCATGAGTCATGACCCAATTCAAGTGATCATGAGTAGCATACAGTTTAGAAACATCACTTATTTTAGCAAGTTTATTTATCACAATAATATATATTGAGCAAAATAATTTTTCAATATTTACCAAACTTCAAGTAAAGTCTTTTCTACAATTTTAACATTCCAAAATGATTAACACCTACTACACTCGTATATATGCAACTCACGAGCAGCAACAAGAAACAAGATATAACGTCGAGTTTTATAACCCTCAAATAATTCCAAAGTTAGTCTTGTTACTGTTGAAGAATGCCAAAATCTCAAAATATATTTACGAGGCATTTGGTAGAGAGAAAAAAAAATTTCTATCGAAGATTCATGATTACTAAAAATATGTTGCGAAATAAAATTTTATGAAAATGTGACCAAAAATTATTTGATAGGCCAAGACATTATTTGAAATATTGGCTCAAGTTCACTAATTATATATTTGATTGATTGTCAATTATTAGTATAAATGTGGGTCATCTTACAAAACTAACATTCCACCTACCTTTAATATTATTATTTTTATTTACAAAAAAAAAAAATATTATTATTTTTCTTCTTCTCTTCCTTCAATCTCAAACACAAACATACACGCCATCGCCTCTGCCTCCTCCTCCACAGTCTCTGCTGCCATTTTCGTGTAATACCCCAAGGACAAATAGTAATTTATAATTGTAATAAATACTTTATAAATAAATAGTAATAATATATATATATATATATATATATATATATATATATTATTAGGACTAATGATAAATTCTGATAATAATTATTTGAATTATTAATTGATTGGTGATATATAGTAATTTAAACATTTAATGTTATTATAGTAATATATTATTGTGTATATATTAAATTATGCATTTAATATTATTATCATTTGATTGGTAATGCGAATAATTATTTTGATAATAATTAAGTTATATTAATAATAAATTGTGATAATCAATAGTACTAAATCATAATAATAATATTTATCCCTATGCATATCATAACATTAAATGCATTGGATTAGGATGAGTCAGTATGCTTTATTTGATGGATGAGAATGAGTCAATCACCAGTCATTATACTTTATTTGATTAGATAAGATGAGTTATCTATGAGTAGGGGTGTTCGCGGTCTTGATTGGATCGGCTTTAGAAGTAAAAATCATCTGATCCAATCTCTTCGGTTTGATCATGTAATCATCTATTTAGTTTGGATTTTTTTTTCAAATCTGATCCGATCCAATTCAATTTTTTTCGGTTTGGATTGGATCGGTTTTCAGTTTTTTAAAAATCCTAAATGTTGTTTCATGATTACTGTGCAAATAACATCTTTTGTATATATTGGCTTTGTAAAAAAAAAATTGAAATACAAAAGCATCAGTAAACAATAATATAGTTTTTTTTTGGGCAATGAGATATGAAGCTTACACAGATGAAATTTTGTTGATGAAATGTTACTAGATTTTTTCTTGGGTTTAGTTGATGGGTTAATGTGTAACACCCCGTATATATCCGGTTTGTTATCATATCATCGTATTAAGCCACGCTTAATTTAAAAATGCATAATATCTTTTTCTTTTCAATTATGTCGTCATTATCATTAGCCAAGTTGAATTACTTAATTCATTTCATAAAACATCGCCTGTATGTAAATTGCAAAAGACAACTAACTGAAATACCTCAATATATAAATAGCATAAATGTGTCTCTAGTCTCGGAACTACCACACGTAGACCGGACAACCCTGATAGTTTATACAACTCAAGCTAAAAGTACTAACATCAATGTGGCATGGACAAACTTCATGCTCACCAAATAAGGCAACAAAGCCTACAAAGAGTCTCAACTCAAATATCAATATAAAGACAGAAATCATAAACAGCATCCAATATCCAGTATCCAACATAAGCAACATAACAACATATAATCAGCTAAGCTCCGGCCTCCTGCTGCTAGAGGTCTCAACCACCGCATTATCTGAACCTGAAATATGTGCCCCAAACGTGGGGTGAGATCTCTAAAAAGAAATCTCAGTAAGACAAGAGGTCCTCAAGGATCTTCCACCCCAAGCTCACTTACACGAGCAATATAAGCTCAAAAGCAATTTAACAGTATAAGTTCCAAAACTATGCAGTGCAACAGATATTCATGCCATGTGTGTTTTAACTATTCTACTGGCCAGAGAAATGCAAGACGTACGTCTACATCCCCACAATAAGTACAAGGAACACCGCTTGCACCTCACGCACAGCCTCACCAGTTGTATGTCTCCACATACTCAGGCTTATCGTATAGGTGGAACACCACATGTATATCATAAAGGCATTCGCATATAACAGCTCAATCACATTTATCAAAACAATACATGAGAACAACATCATGCATATAAACCATCCCCCCGTGGGACATGGTGGAACCAACAATGGCTAAACCGAGGACACGAAAGCTTACCTTGCAAGCTGACAATCCAAGCCAAGAGTCCAACCAATCTCAAAGCCCAAACACAACAGAATCACAATCTGTTTTGGACCAACAATCATATCAAAATCATACTCAACAAGTATAAGACACAAGGACAACGTCTTTCCTTTACATTTCGTGTCTTAAGGCTTCTCACAAAGCCACAAACCCTTAATCACTTAATTTCTAACTTAACTAATCAATACAGAAGCTCAACTTAACCAGTCTAGGGTCCACAAACCCCAAACATCATTATGTATGAACAGTGCAGCTACTGTTCTTCGAAAACCCAGAATATTCGGATATTTGTCGGGGGTATATCCGGATATCAATATCCGGATATCTGACTGTCAATATTCGGATATCAATATTCGACTATTCAGAACCCCATATCCGGAT